AGAGTATAAACATACCCTGTAGTGCTCCTTCTGATGTCAACATTTTCGGCTAAGTTAGCATCTACATAGTCTGTCAGTATCGTATCTCCACCTTTGAAACAAAGTGCTTTGTTTGTGGTACCCCGCAGATATCTGAGGATCCATTTGACTGCTTCCCAGTGTACCTTGCCCGGATTATTCATGTACCTGCTAACAGCTCCCACTGCTTGAGCAATATCTGGTCTGGTACAAACCATGGTATACATCAGACTTCCAATTGCTGAGGCATATGGCACCTTCTCCATGTGTGCAAGTTCTTCCTCCGTCTTTGGTGACTGTTCTTTGGAAAGTCTGAAATGAACACCTAAAGGTGTACTTACTGGTTTAGCATCTTGCATGTTGAACCTGGAGAGTACTTTGTTGATGTACTCAGCCTGTGATAACATCAAAGTCCCCGACTTTGTGTCTCTCTTGATCCTCATCCCAAGAATCTGTTTTGCAGCGCCCAGATTTTTCATTGCAAACTGCTTCGACAATTTTTGCTTCAAGTTTATAATCTCTTGATGTCTGAGTCTGCAACGAGCATGTCATCAACAATGATCTTCTTGACATCTGGTAAAACCACTGCTACTCATGAAACTATCAAACTTCTTGTACCATTGTCTAGGAGCTTGTTTTAAACCATACAAGCTCTTCTTCAACCTGCATACCAGGCTTTTCTTGCCTGCCTCTATGAAGCCTTCTGGCTGCCTCATAGAGATTTCTTCCTCCAAATCACCATGAAGGAAAATTGTCTTTACATCTATCTGCTTAAGATGTAGATTTTCTGCAGCTACAATTTTCAACACCAGTCTGATTGTAGACAGTTTTACGACTGGAGAGAATTTCATTGTAGTCAATACATTCTTTTTGCTGAAAACCTTTGACAACCAATCTTCTTTGTAGCGTTTGCTCTCATCATGCTCTTCTTTGATCCTGTAAATCCACTTGTTGTGGATCGCTTTCTTGTCTGGTGGTAATTCAGCTAATTCCCATGTCTGATTTGACATAAGCGAGGTCATCTCATCTTTCATGGAAGACTCTCACTTGACTGAATCCTCCACTTGCATTGCTTCATCATAGCACTCTGATTCACCATTGTCAGTTAGCAATAAGTAGTGAAAAGAAGGTGAATAACACTGGGTTGGTTTAGGAATTCTGGAGGAACGTCTCAGTTCTGGTGTGCCTGATTCTTCTTGAACTGCTTTAGGACTGATTTGAACATCATTTCCAGAAATCTCCTCGAACTCAGCAAATTCCTTTGTTTCAGCTTCGGTATTTGAGCTACTTGATTCTATGGTTGCCCTGTCTTTGTACATCACATTTTCATTGAAAATAACATCTCTGCTTCTGATGATCTTCCGATTTTCATAGTCCCAAAATCGATAACCGAACTCATCACCACCATAACCAACAAAAACACATTTGTTGGACTTAGCATCAAGTTTACTTCTTTCAGCAGAATCTATGTGTACATAAGAAATAGAACCAAACACTCTTAAGTGTGAAAAGTTTATTTCTTTCTTGCTCCAAACTTCCTCTGGTATTTGTTATCCAAAGGAACTGAGGGCCCACGTTTATCAAGTAAGCTGCAGTGTTGATAGCTTCAGCCCATAGAAATTTGAGTAATCCGGCATGTATCATCACGCTTCTGGCACGTTCATTCAGAGTTCTGTTCATTCAGAGTTCTGTTCATACGCTCTGTTGCAGTGTCATGGGAAATATTGTCTCCATCTTGATCCCATTGTTTGCGCAGAAATCTCTGAATCTACAATTTCTGTACTCTTCTTATTGTCAGATCTCAACCGCTTGACTTTCAGATCAATCTCATTTTCCACCATGGCTTTCCATTTTCTAAAGGTATCAAAGACTTCTGATTTTTTCTTCAGAAAATAAACTCACACCTTCCTTGTAGAATCATCGATGAAGGTGACATAATATAATGAGCCTGCAAGAGATGGAACTGGAGATGGTCTCATATATCAGTATGAACCAACTCTAACTTTTTAGCCTTGGGTGTCTTACCAATCTTTGCAAAGCTGACTTTCTTTTGTTTGCCAAAGATGCAATCCTCGCATAGTCCGACATTTACACTCTTTAGATCCGACAACTTCCCTTTTGACAAAAGTATCCTCATCCCTTTCTCGCTCATATGGCCAAGCCTTTGGTGCCATAGGTTTGATTTTCCATCAGCATCTGCTACTGCAATGATATTCTCTAAATTTGAGGTTACATAGAGAGTATCAGTCTTCTTACCACGAGCAATGACGAGTGCTCCTTTGGTAATCTTCCATTCACAACCTGAAAAGGTTGTGCTATATCCTTCTCCATCAAGCTGTCCTACAGAAATCAGATTTCTTTTGAGGCCAAAAATATGTCTCACTCCTTTCAGCGTCCAGGTGGTCTGGTTTGGCAACTTTAGTCGGATGTCTTCTTTTCTGACGATCTTCAAGGTTTCATCATCAGCTAGATGAACCTTCCCAAAATTACCACTGACATAGTTCTCCATGATTTCTCGGCATGGGATGGAGTGGAAAGATGCCCCTGAATCCAAGATCCATGATTCAATCGGACTGTTAACGCTTAAAATCATGGCATCACCTGTCTCCTTTGTCACGTTTGCAGATTCATGCGCGCCGGTATTTTTCTTCGGTGCTCGGCAATCTCTTTTAAAGTGACCTTTCTTGCCGCAGTTATAACAGGTAAAATATTTCTTTCCCGTTCTTGATTTTCCCATTCTGGATTTTGATCTGCCACGATTTGAATTTCTTTCTGAAGTTCTCCCCATGGACTCCATGTGCAAGGCTGAGGAGGTTGATGCTTCACCCGATTCTCTCCGTCGAATTTTTTCACTCAATACCAGATCCCGAACATCGTCGAATTTAATTTGCTGTTTCCCGAAGAACTGCTGACTATTGTAACAGTAGTATTCCAACTGTCTGGTAGAGATGATAAGAGAATTAAAGCTCAAACTTCATCATCGAATTTAATTTCCACTGAACTCAACTGGATTGTGATTGTGTTGAGTTCATTTAGGTATTGAGCCACTGATGCCCCTTCCGCCATCCGCAAATTGAATAATCATCATCAAATGAACTTTGTTTGAGGCCGATGGCTTCTCGTACATACTGGAGAGAGCCGCCATAAGGCCCGCCGTGGTCTTTTCCTTTGCTATGTTGAAAGCAACATTGCGGGATAACGTCAGTCGGATAACTGCGAGGGCTTGTCTGTCGAGAAGAGCCCAGTCTTCATTCTTCATGCCCTTTGATTGCTTTCCTGAGAGAAGTTGATATAGATTTTTCTGGTACAGAAAATCTTCAATTTGCATCTTCCAAAAGCCAAAGTCCTCACCATCAAACTTCTCAATTTTCACATTCCCTTCGTCTGCAGACATCGCTCCCACTCAAATCTGGCTTCGTTTGGATCGTTCCGACAATTTTTGCGAACCGTCGTGTATTAGAACACCTCCGTCGACAAATTCGTATCGCCGACAAAATTTTACTATTCACGAAATTCACTATTCACGTGAATAGTAACCTCGCAAAAAATTGACAAAATTCACAACCAAAAGCTCTGATTACCAGTTGTTGTGAAATAAACCAAGAACGAGTAATTTCCCTATAACCAGATTAATGAGAAAGCGAAATAAAAGCGGAAAAATAATACCCGAGATTGATAACGGAGTTCAGTCAATTTTGCCTACGTCTCCGGACTGCTGAAGATCTTTTACTAAGAGAGAAAAATTATAGGTGTTTACAAAAAACTCACCACTCACAAGAAAACTCTCTAGTATTGGGAGAAAGAAATGATTTGAGATTTTAGGATGATTTTGAAGCTAAATGGTTAGGGTATTTATAGTAGAAGCTTAAGGACTAATATTTGTAAATACCCTAAAGTCCAATGTAATTTTTCCATGCCTAAAATTCAACAAAATTCAGCCTCCTAAATTTTTTTTCAAGCAGTCGGCTGCTAAAGAATTAGCAGCCCACGTTCTGATGAACGTAGTTATCAATATGACAGATAAGTAGCATGGAAAAGCCTATTGCTCATTATGATGTAAACTCAAGCACTTTATTAATCGGAAAGTTGGAAACCAAAGATGAAAGTGCATTAGCGGGTCGTTTATGCATTGTCTTCTTAAACAAGAAACAATACGTTTATAAAGAAAAACAAAAAGAAGTAAATACAATCTAATGAGACCAACTTGTCTTTTCAATATGGTATATCATAACTTCTTTTATTAGCAGTTTTTAGCTTGCACTTCTAGGTAACCCCTTTATAAAAAATTCCAAGCTCTTTCATAATTAAGACAGAATGACAAAAAGTGAAAGCAATTACAGAAAATTTGAGACAAGGAGGCAGGACATGTCTTTTTCACATTGAAATTTAGAAGGAAAAAGAAAAGAGTAAATATTATCTTTTTAAATAGCCAAAACAAAGAACATGTCACATCCAAGTCTAGAAACTATTGGTTGGTCATCCTAATGCTGGACATGGTGATATTTAAGCATTATTCTAGGAAGATCGAATGATAAGAAGAATAGCAATAAAGACAGTTCATAAGCAACAGATATTTTTATTTGCAATGAATGTGGTAAAAGGTTTTGGTTATCTATGGCACTAATTATGCCATGAAGGCATCGATTCAGAAGGAAACTATGCAGGAAAATCACTGCGATACTCACCAGTCACAGTACCTTTGTTGTCTTGCAAGAGAAGGAGCTCTGTTACACAGGGAATTTTGTACATCTGACCTGGGAAAATCACAGTATAATAGAGGCATGTATTATTATACTCATTTGAAAGATGTTTAGTTTATGTAGTTAAGTGTAATGTAGTGATATGTTTTGGGATTATCTTTGGAACGAAAGTAATCAGCAAGTTCCAAGGTTAGAGTGACTGTCAGCTGGCACATTAGGACATAAAAGCAATTAGATGCATTACGAATGTAACAAATAATCTAGACAATGAAGCCAGATTAATGACTAATTGATCTCGTTGATCAGTTGAACTACAAAAAGGAATGTCTATATATATATATATGCTGTTATACTATCTGTATAAAGCTCAATCTTGCAGTTTTGCTTCAGTGAAAAGCACTAGGCTAACATTCTGCTCCAGTTAGTGAGATCCATGTACATATGAGTGAAGAGTGAAGCCGAGGATATAAGGCGCATCAGAGCTCAAACTGCATAGAATTTCTTGTGTTCATTGTTCAGCATCTCCGTGTCAGACATATATGACATTGACATGGATTGAGATCTGCTATTCATTGAAGACCTGCGGATGCCCCGTAATTTTGAGGCCTTGACGCGGTTCACAATCACCCAATAACACAATGTCCCCAATGTTGACACCATGATAACAGATCCTATTCCGGTAACTAGATTAGCTAACCACTTCTCTTCTTCTCCAACCACGATATACGAAAGGGCCAGAAATGCAACTGAAATCAGTATGCAAGCCAACCACATGAGCTTATTAATAATAGCCATCATCTGCTTCTTTGCTTTTCTCTGTATAACTACAACTGAGGTCTGAACGACCACAACAGCCAATGATATGAATAGGGATATAGCGTCAAAGACAACAAAAATCATAAATGGCAGTTTTGGAGCAATTCTCGCTTGTCCAGGAGAGACTCCTGGTGAAATATCTTCAGGACTGTCAGCATATTGGCCTGGTACACTGAATATGGCAGCAAATGCAATAGTGGCAATAAGGACAGCCACCACTGTGGTTGAGTTGATTGCATTATTGAGGCTTTCGACTTGGATTTTGTTGAGCCTGTTAGCTATACCTTGCATGCGTTTTCTTGTTTGGCGTGTGTGCTCAAGCTGATGATGAACCCCATGCTTTATATCACTTACGGTTTGTTTTAGTTCTCGAGCCGAATTTGTAGGTTGTGTCTTGATGAATTTGGCACATTGGACTCCATGCTCTTTTAAGATGCCTGCAATAGCTGATAGTTTGTGTTTTTCTGCAATGTCAAGAGCCGTTTCCCCGGACTTGTTGATGACTGATTTGTGATCGCCACTTTGATCCAGAAGCTTTTGAACAATCTGAAAGATTGAATTAGTTATTAGAAAAACTACAGTCTTTTCAACAATATAAGAGGGACTAGAAGTTCTATCACCAAAATTCATTCCTAACTACCTGAATCCGACCCTTTCGAATCCCTATATGCAAAGCAGTGTTTCCCTTAGTATCAACCATATTTATTAAACTAGGATCAGAATTTAACAGCTCATCTACCACTTCAACATTATGCCCTTTAACTGCCATATGCAGAGCCGTCAGCCCCTTCTTGTCCATTCTCGTCGTGATTCCAGGCTCTTTAGACAAAAGAGCCTTTACAATCTCTAGATGTCCATTCCTTGCTGCAGAATGCAAGGCAGTCTTCCCGTTGCTCCTTGCTATTGCTACCACGCTGCCGGCTTTTTCCAAGAGAAAACTCACCACTTCAGCGTGGCCTTGTGTTGCAGCAGTGTGCAAAGCTGTGGTGTTATAAGCATCACAAGTCATTGAAAGATCAACATTGGCCTCCATGAGGATCTTCAATACCTCTGATAGTACACACACACACACACACACGAAGATAATCAGAACGCAAATACACGAACAAAGAACCAATGACACTTAAACATATTTCAACTTATACAGATCAAATGACTTTCAAAAACATGATAACCTTTACTAAAATACATTATTTCATAGATTATTCGATATAGAAATCGCAGTATCGGACATTAATACCGATATTATCAAGCTAGAGAACTCACCCAAATCGCCTTGCTTGGCAGCAATATGAAAAGCATCATAGCCATTCCTTGCTTTAATACCAGCCAAAACAATATCATAACACTTCATCAATTCCTTCACTAAATCAACATTACCACACTCAGCAGCAACATACAAGGCAGTTTCACCAGATTGATTCTGCTTACACAAAATATCCTTCAATTCTCCATCTCCAGCGCCCCTAATCATTTCCAAAACCAGTTCCAGATCCCCTGCTCTCACAGCTGAGTGAAGTGGCGTATCATCCCTTTTGCCTGTCAACTGCTTCGCCATCTTCTTTTTCTGAAAATTCTTCTCTTCCCCCATAGATTTCTTGCCCCTTTTTTTGTTTCCTTTAATGCGAACTTCCAAAACAACAATGGCGTTCCCCCCCCCCCCCTCTTCCTTTTGATGGTTTGGATTTATATAGCGGCCCGTTATAGGAATAACGACAGCAAATGTGATGGAAATCGTGATTTAAATCCGCGATTGAACCAATAACTCCAATTATCCACCATACAGACGGATCGAAACTTCATCCCGAGCATGAAAGCAAAAATCAATATAGAAATATAAGATGATTCAGAAGACTGACGAGGCACGTGGGAAAACCATTTTGTCTCCCCATTCCTAATTATAATATCCACACAGTTGCATATATCTATATAATTGTTAGCACAAATCATGCCAAAATGTATGAAAGAAAGAAAACCATTGGATAAAAGTTGGAATCTTTATCTTCATTTAATAAATCAAAGAGAGCAATCGGGTACTTAAAATTGAACGCCAACCATAAAGAAATGATCTTTAATGTTTAACTCACCTTGGTTCTTAACTCTGAAAAAAAAGGGACCAAAGAAGAATAAAAGAAGGTAAATTAGAAGCAAAAGAAACAGTGATGGTTCACTCACTGTAAATAAAAAAGCTAGTAAGCAGGTATAACAAACGCCATTGAAAATGTGAAACCTGCCTTAAAATCTCACTAGAGTTGGGATCCTACGTGCAAATTAAGTAGCAATCATGTTATTCCACGTCATCAGTCAAAATCAATACTCGGGCCCACCATCCCCGCGGGTGATTTTTGGCCTTTCGTACGTTATAGCCGTGTGGAGCATAGCGATTAGGACCGGCTAGCAGAAAACTTTGTAGGAATCTTACACGTGCCGTCCCTTGTTCAGGTTTGGACACGAAGACCCCACGTGCCGGTTCTCAACACGTTGTCCTAAGATTTCTTGTCGACGCATGATCACGACCGTTTAATAACCTATATATGATCATCACCTGTTCGATTTATGATTCCTTCAATTTTTATAATTTTCAGAAAATTATTTGCATGGTAAATTCTTCTATTTGTCTTCTTACTGTCAACAAATTATATATTTAGTTTTCTAAAAACAAATTAGAGTATATATTTAGTCCATATATTTTGATTTAATTATAAATACATCCGAATAAAAAAATTTAAGCTTAAACCAATCTAAACTCAAAATTACACCGGTTCAAAAAATGAAAATTCGTCTAAATTTACGACTCAACCCAGTCCTCCAAACCCCATCAACCCTAAAATTCTCCATTTGAGTCTATTTCCCTTAACTTGATCAGTACTCCCCAACTATCCTTAAAATCTCTTTTCCCCCTCCCCGATAAATTTGGACCGCTTTTCAAATTTTCTATTTTATCTGTTGCACACAAGGTCTCTGAGGAGTGAAATCATCTTAATTATGATCCTCGAGTTACACATTTATTTTACATGGATAATGACTTCTTGTTTGTGCGTAATTCCCAGCAAGAGATTCGTAGACTACGGGAGATTTCACATGTTTATAAAATGGCTTTAGGTCAAAAAGTAAATTGTGCAAAGTTTAGTGTTTATTTCAGCCTCATACCCCCATTGGATTACCGCAATCTTCTCTGTGATTTCTTGGACATAGTCGAGGGTGATGATCCCGACATATATTTGGGAATAGGGTGTTCATTCGGTTAAAACGGTGGCCGATCGAACTGAACTACTCTTAATCGAATTAACTGAACTTTTTTTTCTTTAACCGTTAATCGAACCGAATTTTTTTTCAAACATATTAACCGAACCGAATTAATTTCGGTTAACTCGGTTAATTTTCGAATTAACCGAATTTTTTTAAAATTTTCTAATTTATATAAAAATTAAATATTTTTAATTCAAAAAAAGTTTATAATTAATTTAAATAATATATAATTATAAAATAAAAATTCCAGATAAATTTTTTAATTAATTAATATTGATTTAGATTTAAAAGTTATTGGATCTTAAATTATTAATTGAGTTTTAAATTGTTTGGGCTTAGCCCAAATGTTATATATAATATATTTAATATTTTTTAATTAAAAAAACAGTTTACAATTAATTTAAATAATATATAATTATAAAATAAAAAATTTACATAATTTTTTTAATTAATTAATATTGATTTAGGTTTAAAAGTTATTGGATCTTAAATTATTAATTGGGTTTTAAATGGTTTGGGCTGAGCCCATATGTTATATATAATATATTTAATATTTAAAATTTAATTTCGGTTAATTCGGTTAATTCAGTTAATTAACCGAATTCGAACCGAATTAACCGTTAACCGAATTCTAAAAATTTTCTTAACCGTTAACCGACCGAACTAATTCGATAATCGAACCGAATTAACCAAACTAATTCGGTTCGGTCGATTAACCGAATTAGTTCGGTTATTTGAACACCCCTATTTGGGAATGTCTCTACCGGTTGGCCTTACTATTTTTTTAATAAAAAAACCCTAAAATTTATTTATTTAAAAAGTAACCTCAAATGGTATTAACTAAAAAAATACCCCACAAGCTGACAACTCAGGACGACCTCACATTTTATGAAAAGTTAACTCGTGTTCTACGAAAAATGAGTTTTATGCATTTATTGTTGTTTTTATCCAAAAAATAAATAAATGAGTTTATTTGAAAAATAGATGAATCTCGCGTCTAATAACGTGAGGTTCATTGAACACATTTTGTAAAACACAAGTAATTCTACGTGGATAGTTTGGGGGTATATTTTCAATTAATGTTGTTTGAGGGTTACTTTTTCAATAAATGAATTTTTGAGGGTTTTTAAAAAAATAAAAACACTTGGTCCAAATAAAAGGGTAAATTATAAATTTGGTAACTGAATTTTACTCTTTCACCTATTTCACTCGCTGTACTTTATCTTTTCAATTTCCTCACTGAACTTATATTGGGTTATTTTGATCGTTCGACCATTAAATAGTTAACGACGCTAAAATGGGTTATTATATAGATACAAATAACTTCGTTTTGGTGAAAATTTATTTTTTTAAAACGACATCATTTTAAACGTTGTTAATTATTTAACAATAGAGTGACCAAAATAGGAGAGAGTAAAGTTCAATGACCAAACAAACCCAATAAATTAAGTTCACTAAGAAAAATAGGAGGAGAGTAAAGTTCAATGATGAAATTTGTAATTTACGTCAAATAAAATTGTGGCATTCGAATCTGTACGAGATAAGATCATTGCACGTGTGCAGAACTGGACGAAAAATCTTGTCTTATGGAGAACAAAAAGTATTTATCAAGTCTGTTGGTCAAGCCTTAACCACGTACATTATGGGATGTTGTTCTAGAAGAGCTACTTGATGAAACTACTTAGGTGATTCACTATTATCGATGGTCTAGGTGTCTTACCAAAAGAGGTTAGTCGTATCAAAGGTAAAGATTAGATTAATCAATTATGTCAAACTACTCATGTTTTTGTTGAATTATTTGCCTCACATTTTGTTGTTAATGATCAACCCTCATAAACTCATCTTCTTCAAGGCAATAAAATTGGTGGTTTCTATTATGTTCCATGATCTTTTCTTCCTCAAGTCAATTCAATCAGTTGTTTATTTGTGTATCAGCTACATCACAAGTTTTTTCATCCGTCAAATAATGTCTTAATCTTTATATTAAGCACATATAATATACCTTATGACTCCGTTAACTTGAAAGAATTTCGTTGTTCTTCATGTCATATCAACAAAAGTCATACATATTATGTGTTGCTTGATGATCATTTCACCAAGTGTAGCTGGTTATACTCAATGAAGAAAAAAAATCTTATATTGCAGTAATTTTTTCTCACTTCAAAAGGTATGTTGAAAAATTTTCAACCGGACCGTTATGTCCCTATTCTCTGGTAATGGATGTGAGTTTGTTAAGCTCTTGCCCATTCTGAATTTAGATGGTATTTCACACTTCACTTCACCATCTCATACTCTTGAACATAATTGGACTATTGAACGGAGACATTATCACATAGTGGAGACTGGTCTGTCTTTATTTCACTTTGTATCTCTTCCAATAGAATATTAGCCTTATGTTTTTCAGGCGGTTGTTTATCTTATCAATCGAATGCCAGCATCGATATTGAATAATATGTATACATACTCCCTACTTTATCAACATTCATCGAATTATGAAAAGCTTCAACTATTCAGATGTTTATGTTTTCTTTGCTACGACAGTACACAAATCATAAACTTGAACCATGGTTGGTTAAATGTGTTTTACTTGGATACTCCATGACACAGTCTGTATATAAATGCTTGGATTTAAACACTAACAAAATTTGTCTCTCGTCATATTTTTTTTATTCTTCATATTTTTTCGTTTACTACACAAAATGTAATCACTGTACCACAGCATTCTTCTTTGACATTATTCTGTGTTGCCTCAACAACCTCTCCTATAACATTATTGGTTGATATATCGCGATAAAATGAAAAATTAGTTGTAATGCCAACACCCTTGCGTAACATACCACAACAACTTGATGATCCACCTGAAGCACTAGTACCCTTGGTTGATATATCAGAGCATAATGATGTACCTGTTATACAATATATCTCTTGCCACATGAAAATACTCATCAACCATGCACTTGTCGGCCAAATCCGAGGTATTTTGGTCATTCATTTATTAATATCATTATATGGCATCCTTTGTCTTCCACGTTAGAGCTGAAAACTATTACTCAGGCTTTTAAAGATCCATTATGGAGGCAAGCTATGGAAGATGAGTTTACTGCCTTCATATGTGGGATCTTGTTTCGCGGTCTAAGTAATCTATCGTAAGGTGCAAATGGGTGTTCTACGTGAAAAGGCGTCCAGATGGCTCTCTTGCTCGATACAAAGCCAAATTAGTAGCAAAATGATATTTTTAAGAGGTTGGTCGAGACTATTTTGAGACTTTTAGTCATGTGGTTAAGCCTGTTATGGTATACATTATCTTTACTCTTGTACTTCATTATGTGTAAACTTTTAAGCAACTTGATATCAATAATGAGGAAGACTATCCAAAACAACCTCCGAGATATGTTGATCCTACAAAACCTTCTCATTTTTTCAGTTATGTAAGGCCTTATATGGACTAAAATAAGCACCAAGGGCAAGATACATTGAGTTTTCTCAATTTCTTCTTCAATTTGACTTTCAGAAATCCAAGACTAATGCATCACTCTTCATTTACAATACAAAGGGAGTCATTTTGTATCTTCTAGTATATATGGATGATATTGTGCTTATTGGTAATAGCACTAACTTCGTTTCTCATTAAGGAGTGATTAAGTTACTATA